CCTCTCAAAGCTGGGTTTGCGGCCACCTCTGGGACAAGGCCACTAGGCGAGACATTAGCCATACAGATCCTCCTGCTCTTCCAAGTCAGAAAACTTTCTTTTGCCTTAATCTGTTAGGGAAGGCAAAATATTTTCCCCACCCCGAGCTGCAGAGGCAAGGCTCCTGCTGTGCAAAAGGAGAAGGAATCAAGGCACGACACTCGTGTTTTTCCTGCCAGATCTTGCCACTGGAGGTGGCTTGGGCTGCCGAGGCGAAGGAGCGGATGTATCCAGAGCTGTTTCCTGCCTGATAACAGAAGCCGGCCTCTCGAGCCGGATGTTATGAGCCCTGGTGCTGCCTTCATGTTTAAGCAAAGGGCTGAGGAGGAGAAATCACGGCTTGTTTATTCTTCAAAAAAAATAGCCGCCCCCTCTTTCTCTCTCTCTTTCTTCCTCCTCGTGAACACACGTAGAGGGGCTGCCTTGAAGGCACGGGGAAATAAATGGCTCCGTTTGGATTTCTCTCGGTTCCTCGGTTCCCCCCAATCTTAGATTCTGCACTACTTTACAAACTGGGTTTTTTTTTAAAAGTCCCTGTGAAAATTTATCAGCATTTTAGCACGAGTGTCTCTCTCAATAACACACATTTTTGTACCAACGTCCTTACACAGATTTTGGAGAAAGCTCTCCTCTTTGTCCTGGTTTTTGATGCTTGAGGTGCAACGTTGTTAAGATCCACCTCATTTGCATGGTTATAAATTGTTTCTAACTTGGTTTTTAATGCTGTGACCTGCTTTGGGACCTTATGGTGAAGGGCGGGTAATAAATACAGTCAGACCTCTCCTTACGTCCGCCTCCACTTGTGCCCATTTCACACAGTGTCCGCAGCAAACCCAGAAGTAACCAGCAGTTCTGCCACTGGCCGCGCATGCGTAGCAGTGGCGATCGCCGTTTGCGCATGCGCATGCACAGGAGCGGCGGTTGCCGCCAGTGCCTGCCCACAACAGCACCTCTCCCAGAGACCCGTTTCGACCTCCGGACGGACCTCCAGAACGGATTATGGTCGCAGGTAGAGGTTCCACTGTAAATAGGTAAAGGTAAAGGACCCCTGGACAGTTAAGTCCAGTTAAAGGCGACTATAGGGTTGTGGCGGGATGCGGGTGGTGCTGTGGGTTAAACCACAGAGCCTAGGACTTGCCGATCAGAAGGTCAGCGGTTCGAATCCCCGCGACGGGGTGAGCTCCCCCTGCTCAGTCCCAGCTCCTGCCAACCTAGCAGTTTGAAAGCATGAAGTGCAAGTAGATAAATAGGTACCGCTCTGGTGGGAAGGTAAACGGTGTTTCCGTGCGCTGCTCTGGTTTGCCAGAAGCGGCTTAGTCATGCTGGCCACATGACCCGGAAGCTGTACACCGGCTCCCTCTGCCAGTAAAGCGAGATGAGCGCTGCAACCCCAGGGTCACCTGCGACTGGACCTAATGGTCAGGGGTCCCTTTACCTTTACTTTAAGGATGTTTAATGAAGGTGCCAGGTGAACCTCTCTGGGGAGAGCATTCGACAAATAGAGAGCCACCGCAGAAAAGGCCCCGTTCTCGTGTTGCTGCCCTCTAGCCCTCTCATTGAGGAGACACATGAAGAAGAACCTCAGAGGATGAGCACAGGGACTGGGAAGAGGCGGTCCTTGAGGTATTGCAGTCCTGAGCCATTTAAGGCTTTATAGGTCAAAACCAGCACTTTGAATTGGGCCTGGAAACTAATTGGTAGCCAGTGCAGTCGGACCCGGATCAGTGTAATACGCTCAGACCATCTTGCTTTGGTGAGCAACCTGGTTGCTGAATTCTGCCCCAGCCGAAGTTCCTGAACTGTCTTCAAGGCAGCCCCGTGTATAATGCATTGCAGTAATCTAACCTTGAAGCTCGACAACAGTAGTTAGGCAGTCCCTATCCAAACAGGGGCGTAGCTGGGCCACCAGCCGAAGCTGATGGAAGGCACTCTGGGCCACTGAGGCCACCTGAGTCTCGAGCGACAGCAAAAGAGCCAGGAACACCCCCAAGCTCCGAACCCGCTCCGTCAGAGGGAGAGTAACCTCATCAACACCCTAGAGGTCCCGGGCCCTAAGGAAGTCAGATTAGCCTCAACCAGAGCCAGGGCCTTTTCAACACTGGCTCCAGCCTGGTGGAACGCTCTGTCTCATGAGACCAGGGCCCTGCAGGATCTGATTTCTTTCCGCAGGGCCTGTAAGACGGAGTTGTTCTGCCTGGCCTTTGGCTTGGAATCAACTTGATCCCCTCCCCCCTTCCTTTTTCGTTTCTCCTTCTGTGATGGAACCCCTATTTGGGGACTTCCCTGGCTTTTTTCTGGCCCACCTAAGACCAGTCTGGCTAGTTAGCCTTGGTGAAAACTTGACGTTTTCATCCCCCAAAACGTTTTCGAGTTTCTGCTAAAACAAGGCTGCATTTTAATGTTGCATTTTAATCTCGTTTTTAAGTTTTATTTCAATCAATTGTTTTTATACCTGGTGTTAGCCGCCCTGAGCCCGGTCTTGGCTGGGGAGGGCGGGGTATAAATAAAATTTATTTTTATTATTACCCTCCGAAGCAGCAGAAACGACAGGATCTTCCACGGGACAGCCCATCTTTGAAGATGGCTATCATGTCACATCACACCCTGAAGTCTAAGGGCCAATTCCCTGGGGAATAATGTCTCTTCCTGGAAGTTCTTCATGCCGTAATTAACAAGGCTGGCTAAGTCACAGAGCTTGCTCCTCAATTACCTTCATTAACTGCGGCACCGCTGTTTGAACACAGAAACGTTCACAGCCTGGAAAAGAGAAGACTCAAGGGAGATAGGATAGCCATCTTCAAATTCCTCAAGGGCTGTCACGTGGGAGATGGAGCAAGCTTGTTTTCTCCTGCCCTGGAAGGTAGGACTCGAACCCATGGCTCCAAGTTACAAGTAGGGTGATTCCGACTAAACATGCGTAGAAACTTTCTGACCGCAAGAGCTGTTTGGCAGTGGAACGGACTCCCTTGGGAGGTTGTGAATTCTCCTTCCTTGGAGGTTTTTAAGCAGAGGTTGGGGGGCCATCTGTCATGGATGCTTTAGCTGAGATCCCTGCCTTGCAGGGGGTTGGACTAGATGACCCCTGGGTCCCTTCCAACTCTTAAGATTCTATGATTCTATGAACATATCCCCATTCAACTGCTGCTTCTTTCATCTTAGATATTTCCATCGTATTAGCTCCTTTCCCCATTCCCCAACCACAGACCTTTCCCTCTTATTTCCAGTAAGTTCTGGGCCTTGGGGACCCTGTCACGGTGATCACGTCCCTCCCTATCAGCTCTGGGGAGAGTGGGGGTGTTATTTCCTAACCTTGGATCCTAGAACAATAGGCAAGTAGGATCCTAGAATGCAACACCGGATTGGCTTGCAGGAAAAGACCAATCAGGCTCCAGGAGGAAGTTAATCAGCCTATTAGGCTGGTAGGATCATAGAATGCGACAACGGATTGGTCTGCAGGAAAAGACCAATCAGGCTCCAGGAGGGAAGCAGAATCAGCCAATCAGACGGGACTCATTGTGTAAATAATGTATAGAAAAGCCTGAGGTTTGGGGGGGCAATTCACTGTCTGTTTTACAAGCTGCAATAAAGAGCATGAAATCAGGACTCCGAGTATATTTCAAGGACATTAGTCGTCTTGCCGTGGTCTCAGGAAGGAAATTGCCCAATCTGCTTGGATTCAGGATTCAGACAGTGTCTGATCTTCCCTTGAAACCCCATGGAAGGCGAGAGCAAGACTCTCAAGACGATGGCTCAGAAGTCGAAAGCAATGGATGGGGTGTTTGGGAAGGGTGGGGTCCCCAAGGCTGACTTACCTTCCTGTTTGATTTGTTTACGAAAGGGCAGAAGTGAGAGGTTCCTAAAGAGGAAGACCTGAGCGGAATGAGAGGTTAAATGCCACTGGATTTGCTTAAAATATCTGGATTTGTTTTACATGCTTTTAAATAGTGTGTGTGTGTGATTTACTCCCTACTGCAACATAGTGTGCCAACTCACTTACTTAGATTTCCAAACATTCTCTCTGAATGCTGAACACTGGGTAATAACAATGCATTGAAATAACCAGACTGATCCAGTTTACGTTGATTACACCCCCTCCAACATTTCTCCGATGAAAATAGGGATGTCACATTCCATACCGTCCAACCTTTTTCCGATTGAAAATAGGGGCATCCTATCCCATACCCTCCAACATTTCTCCAATGAAAATAGGGACGTCCCATTCCATACCCTCCAACATTTCTCCAATGAAAATAGGGACGTCCAATTTCGTACCCTCCAACATTTCTCCAGTGAAAATAGGGACGTCCCATTCCATACCCTCCAACATTTCTCCAATGAAAATAGGGACGTCCCATTCCATACCCTCCAACACTTCTCAGACAAAATCAGGGACGTCTGAAGGAAAAGGAGGACATTCTGGGATTAAATCAGAAACCGGGGTGACTTCTGTAATAGGGACACTTGGAGGGTCTGTGGTCAGTATGTGTGCAATTGGGATTCTGTGCCCATTATCGCCCACAAATGTGGTCTATCCCTTTGAATGGGATGCGTCACATTTTGACAAATTCCCAGCCACGCTCTGTGCGCAGCCAGAAGCTGGATCGGGACCGAAGGCTGCGAACTAGCAAACAGGGCTACGCCGGCTTAAGCAGACTGTTTTCAGGATTGCCTGCCAGGGGGAACTCAGAGGGCTATTTAAAACAATGCCCTCCCCCCCCAAAAAAAAACCCCACACGCCAGCTTGAGTTGAAAGAAATATTAAATGTTTTAGTTTATTTGGAAGAGTAAAGACAGAGGGAGCTCACGATGAACCCCTTTGCAGCATCCATAACAGTCTCTTCATCCTTCCATAGGCCTGGCAGGAAGAATTTTTGTTGAGAAAGATGGAACGAAAACCTCTGATGTTTGGTGAATGTTGGCGTATCTACATTTAGGTGTACACATCTGTTTGGGTTTCTTTGTAAATCTCTACCCCTGTGAACAAAGAGACTTCGGCTTTGTTCTCAGTGAGGGAGTTAACCCGTGTCTGGACGAGACAGCTGAAGGCCACAAGTTGGAGGGGTTCACGTGAACGAGGGAGAGAAAATTATCTCCATGGAAAACCAGCGTGTCAGAGAGGAAGGCAAGGCCACGGCACTTCCCCCCTGACGCGCAAGTTTTCTATGGGATGTATTTGAAGGAAAGTGAGGTCCCACCTGCAGTCTGAAGTGGGGAAGCCCCAGGCACAGATTTACTTTGGCACTGAGAATCCTCCTCAAGGCCAGAGGACGAAGAAGACCTGGAAGAGAGAACACAGGCATGGGATTGAGAATGTCAGGGCATGCCTGGGAGAACCTCAATGCTGCCCTCACTTCTTTTTCTTCTTTGACTTCTCGTCTTTCGCAGCCTTCTGCGCCGCCTTCTGCGCTTTCTTCTCCGCCTTCTTCTCCTTCTCCCTCTCCTTCTCCCTCTCCTTCTCCTTCTCCCTCTCCTCCTTCTCCTTCTCCTTAATCTGAGCCTCCAATATTAAATCCTTCAGCTTCTTCTGCTTGCTGGTCTTCCTCCCATCAGGGCTGTAGGGTGGCGGGTAAGGGGCAGGCGGGTTGAGGAGCAAGGCCTTCTTCTGCAGCCGGAGCTGAAGGATTTCAAAGGTGGCCTGGATCTCGTTCTGGATGATATCGTGCAGACTCTGGACCTGGGCCTTAATCGCTTCTCGGACAAGAGACATCAGAGTCTGGAAAACAAACACAGGGCATTGTGGCTACTGACGTTTCTGCTAGACTTAGAATGAACCTGGGCTTGCTGCCTGGGCTTCCAAAATGGTTACCTAGCACAGCAAGGTCGTTTGAGGTTGTTGAGCATGTCAACCTCAACCTCAAATCGTTATTGGCATATACAGTGGTACCTCGGGTTACAGACACTTCAGGTTACAGACGCTTCAGGTTACAGATGCTTCAGGTTACAGACGCTTCAGGGTACAGACTCCGCTAACCCAGAAATAGTACCTCAGGTTAAGAACTTTGCTTCAGGATGAGAACAGAAATTGCGTGGAGGTGGCAGCGGGAGACCCAATTAGCTAAAGTGGTGCTTCAGGTTAAGAACAATTTCAGGTTAAGAACGTACCTCCAGAACGAATTAAAGTCTTTAACCCGAGCTACCACAAAATTCTGAAAGCTTCAGTACAATAAAATCACCCGGCAAAATCGGCACCTAACAATTAAATTGCTGTGGTATAGCATTCGCAAATCCTCATTGCATGCCGCAGAAACTTGGCTACCATCTGCATCTTAACGTGTTCTCCGAGATGTGGAAAAAGGAAAAATGGGACATTTCCAGATCAAATCAGAAACTAGGACGGCTTCTGTGATTCCGGGACTTTCCCTGGAAAATCGGGACACTTGCAGGGTATGCACCCCCCCTTTTCGCTGTCAAAATTAGATTCCCACACCTGCTTGCCAAACAGGTGCATCGTAAACAAACATGGCCGCCGCTGGCCGCCATGTTTGCCCCCGATATTTGCAAGGCCTGCCGCTTCTCAGCGACTAGCTCTGGAAAGGTTTTGACCTTGCGCATTCCGAGAAGCCAGGGTGGAGCTTGGGAACTGGCAAGAAGGCCGGGGAGGGGCCGGGGAGAGAGTGTGGGGCCAATGTGGGCCAGGGAGGCAACGTTTGTGATACTTGTCATCAGAAGCCGTCAGGCAGCTGTGAGGACTGGCCTCTTGCCAAGCTCCCAGGAGCTGATCGAGGTTGGAGGAGAGCCAACGGATCTTGAGGACGTCCATGGCAGCGGGACCCAATCCGAGGAACCGGGAAGGATGGGTGCTGGGGTTTTTCCCCCCGTTTGTGCACAGGGTGGTACGCTGAACAACCCACTGAGCGCTCCAGGATAGACGTCTCGGCTCGAGTTCAAAAGGTGACGTTCTCTGAACTCACCCGCGGCCGTTTCTGGCAGCGCGTTGAGGAGCACACGTGTAAGCATTAATTGCCAATTAATTCCACTCCGTAGATGGGCTGGCAGTCATAGTAAAAACACGTCGGAGTTTCATTCGGTTTCCTCAAACAGTGCGCTCCCAGGCAGGGAAGCAAGTCTCGGCAAGGAGGAGATTTTCCATCTCGAGGGCGATAAGACGCGTCGCAGCTTGATTATGCAGATCAGGGCTGGGGAGAAAGTTTTGGACGAGGCAGCCACAGATGTAACTCTGAGGTGCTGTCAACAGGCTGCCGGAAGCGGGAGACCCAAAGGGCGTAGTTTTGCAGCGAGTGGAACCTGTGGTGAAAACTGGGATCGATGTGCTAGATCCCAAAGTGGGCAGTACCACACCCTGGGGGCCGGTGGGATTACCTAGGGGGCTGCAGCAAGGCAAGGGGAAAACAGGGAGATGCTGGAGGTTTGAATCAACAGCCACTAACCACTACTGCTAAAGGCAGTGAGCTTCTGAACCCCAGTTGCCAGGAACTGAAGTGTCAAGTTCCAGATGTTACTATTAGCATAAAGGGGTGGCGCTCTGGGTTAAACCACAGAGCCTAGGACTTGCCGATCAGAAGGTCAGTGGTTCGAATCCCCTCGATGGGGTGAGCTCCCGTTGCTCGGTCCCTGCTCCTGCCAACCTAGCAGTTCAAAAGCACGTCAAAGTGCAAGTAGATAAATAGGTACCGCTCCAGCGGGAAGGTAAACGGCGTTTCCGTGCACTGCTCTGGTTCGCCAGAAGCGGCTTAGTCATGCTGGCCACGTGACCCGGAAGCTGTACGCCGGCTCCCTCGGCCAGTAAAGCGAGATGAGTGCCGCAACCCCAGAGTTGGCTACGACTGGACCTAATGGTCAGGGGTCCCTCTGGGGTTGCGGTGCTCATCTCACTATATAGGCCGAGGGAGCTGGCATTTGTCTGCAGACAGCTTCTGGGTCATGTGGCCAGCATGACTAAGCCATTTCTGGTGAACCAGAGCAGCGCACGAAAACGCTGTTTACCTTCCTGCCGGAGCGGTACCAATTTATCTACATGCACTTTGAAGTGCTTTCGAACTGCTAGGTTGGCAGGAGCAGGGACCGAGCAACGGGAGTTCACCCCGTCACGGGGATTCGAACCGCCGACCTTCTGATCGGTAAGCCCTAGGCTCTGTGGTTTAACCCACAGCACCACCCGCGCCCCTTTACTATTAGCATAGAAAGACCTTAACAGCTGGGGACACAAGATCGCCTTACCCCGACAGGTGCCCACTCGACTGCTTCAATCCGCACAATACCCCGGCCCTCATTTGCTGGCTCTTGGTCATTTGGTGCACTTTGGAACTCCCTGCCCATTGATCTCAAGCAGGCGCCTTCACCATATTCCTTTCAGCGTCTGCTGTAGGCATTCCTGTTTAGATAAGCCTACCCAGATGCTTAGAAAGACGGTGTGAATTTTGATGTGCTTTCATAGTTTTGTATTAAACTATTGGAGGATGGATGGCGGCTAACAGATTGAGGTTGAATCCTGACAAGATGGAAGTATTGCTTTTGGGGGACAGGGGGAGGCAGATGTTGAGGACTCCCTGGTCCTGAATGGGGTAATTGTGGCCCTGAAGGACCAGGTGCACAACCTGGGAGTCATTTTGGACTCACAGCTGTCCATGGAGGCACAGGTCAACTCTGTGTCCAGGGCAGCTGTTTACCAGCTCCATGTGGTACGCAGGCTGAGACCCTACCTGCCTGCAGACTGTCTCACCAGAGTGGTGCATGCTCTGGTTATCTCCTGCTTGGACTACTGCAATGCGCTCTACGTGGGGCTACCTTTGAAGGTGACCCGGAAACTACAACTAATCCAGAATGCGGCAGCTAGACTGGGGACTGGGAGCGGCCACTGAGACCACATAACACCGGTACTGAAAGACACAATTCCAAGTGTTGGTGCTGACCTTTAAAGTCCTAAATGGCCTCAGCCCAGTATACCTGAAGGAACGTCTCCACTCCCATCGTTCTCCCCGGACACTGAGGTCCATCTCCAAGGGCCTTCTGGCGGTTCCCTCCCTGCGAGAAGGGAAGTTACAGGGAACCAGGCAGAGGGCCTTCTCGGTGGTGGCACCCACCCTGTGGAATGCCTCCTGTCAGATGTCAAGGAAATAAACAACTATCTGTCTTTTAGAAGACATCTGAAGGCAGCCCTGTGTAAGGAAGCTTTTAACGTTTTATGTTTCATCGTCTTTTTAATCAACTGTTGGGAACCGCCCAGAGTGACTGGGGAAACCCAGCCAGATGGGCGGGGTATAAATAAATTGTTGTTGTTGCTGCTGCTGCTGCGATTTTTTTATTATTATTGATGCCATGGATTTATCTTTTTGCAAACTGCTTTGAGGTGCTCTTGTTGTTTACACAATGCATAAATTTTATGGAGCAAATAGTAATACAGTGGTACCTCGGGTTAAGTACTTAATTTGTTCCGGAGGTCCGTTCTTAACCTGAAATTGTTCTTAACCTGGAGCACCATTTTAGCTAATGGGGCCCGATTTCTGTTCTCATCCTGAAGCAAAGTTCTTAACCTGAAGCACTATTTCTGGGTTAGCGGAGTCTGTAACCTGAAGCGTATGTAACCCCGAGGTACCACTGTAAAAGAAATCAGTGCAGCTGGCTGCTGCGAGAAGAGGCTGCTACGACGGAGTCGGGAGTTAGGCTTTTGCCCCAAGCTCACCTCTTTCTCCAGGGTCGCCGTTTGCGTCCGGACGCTCCTGTAGACCTCCTCCAGCATGTTCTCCCTCTCTTTGCACAAGGTTGCCCTGATCCGCTCCATTTCGGCCTGCTTTTCCTCCTCCGCTGCAGAGACTGCGGCCAGCTGCTGCTGGTACTTCCAGGCCCTTATTTCCGTCCCCCGCCTCAGCGGCAGGGGCTTGGGGGGAGCGTACACCTCCAGGCTGGCAAAGGTCTGGCAGCGGTCCCTCTCCTGAGCCAGGACGAACTGGTGCAGCCCGTAATGTTTGATGAAGGTGTTGTGGAAGTAATCGCAGACGGCACGCAGGTGGAAGTCCGGAAGAGTCACCCGGAAGGCAGCGAGCTTCTCCTGCAGGAGTTGGATGGCTTGTGAGACGGGCAGACCTGGCGCAGAAGGGAAGAATGTCTGTTTTTTGCATTTATACCCCAACTTTTTTCTCCCCTAAGGGGCTCAAGGCAGCGTGCAAGGTTCCTCCCCACCTCCATTCAATTCCCCCCTCTAATTTTTATTAAATTTCCTTTTTACATTTTAGAATATTCATTTAAACAACTGTTATATACTGAGTTGAAGAGGATCTAAAAGGCAGCAGTCTGATTGGTCCTAGAACAATAGGATTCAGAATGCAGCAGTCTGATTGGTCCACAGGAGCCACCCAATCCAGCTCCAGGTGGAAGTAAATCCACAACCTGATTGGCCTACAGGTGAATCCCGGAATTAGCCAATCACGTGGGGCCCATTGTGTAAATAATGTATATAAGGCAGACATTCTGGGGGAACTTCCATTCCTCCTCACCACTATGAGCTGAATAAAGAGCAAGAAATCCACACTTGACTCCGGGTATATTTCAACAACTTTAAAATGTCAATGACTTCCCTTCGTCTCTTTCCGTGGTTCATTTTGCGTAACATAAATCACTGCATATTTTACATAAACCTAACCATTATTACATCCATCAAAACTTGTTCACACTGTTGGATTTATCTTAATGCCACCCACGTTTTCAAATATACACAATTTCCCCCTGTATATTCAATAAACATTTTCCAATCTTCTTTAAACGTATGTTCTTCTTGTTCTCTTATTCTGTATGTAAAGTCTGCAAGCTGCGCATATTCCATCAGTTTAAGCTGCCATTCTTCTTTAAGTTGGGACCTCGCTCGTTTTCCATTTTAGGGCTAACAAAAAAAAATGGGCCGCAGTAGTGGCATACATAAATAACCTTTTTTTGACACCTGGGAATTTCTGTCTGAATTATCCACAAAAAGACTCTGGGTGTGCTTTTTTTGGAAAAATACAGTAGTACCTCTGGTTGCGAATGGGATCCGTTCTGGAGGCCCGTTCGCAACATGAAAAGAGCACAACCCGCAGTGGCACGTCTGCGCATGCGCGGGTTGCAACTCTCCGCTTCTGCGCATGCGCGTGCCGTCATTTTTGCGCTTCTGCACATGCGCGAGCGGCGAAGCCCGGAAGTAACTCTTTCCAGTACTTCCGGGTCACCGTGGGACATAGCCTGAAGGAACGTAACATGAAGCGGACGTAACATGAGGTATGACTGTACTTTTAAACTTTCCCCCCTCAATCATTATGAATTATTCCCCAATAGTCTTTTACCCTTTTGCAGGTCCTCCACATATGAAAAAACATTCCCTCTCCCAGGTCCTAGTCCAATGCTCTAACTATTACACCACCGCTATGCCGGTACTAATTGTTATTACTACTGCTGTAATCATCATCATCATCATCACCACCACCAATTAATTAATTAATTAATTAATTAATTTAATAATTAAATAAATTAATGGATTTCTGTCCTGATCTTCCTCCAAAGGGAGACTGGGAGAGTGAGGAGGGCATCAAACAACAAGTTATCAGATCCTTACAATTTAAAACGTATCTAAAACATTAGGGGGGAAATCAAAAGCACTTAAAAGCCTTTTAAAACAGTCATATACTACATGTGCATTAAAGGGAACTGTTTTAAACTCTCTTCACGTATAGAGTTGTTTTTAATCGCTTTTTACGTGTGTGTTTTCTGTGACGTCGCCTTGAGATATTTCACAGGACGGGATCCTTGAATGGAATCAAATAAACCGACAGTATCCAGATTACGGATTTAATAAATAACATTGTGGTTTTTAATTCCTTTGTGGGGAGCTTAGAGCAGCTTACCTGCGCCTCTCAGGCTGCAAAGACGACAGTTTGATGTTTTGCTTATATTATTCTATTTTTAAAAAAATCAATGCGTATAACTGCTTTAAGGGGTCAGAGGTCACAGCCCCAAGCAGCTCACAATCGGAACTGGATGCCAGAGAGGGCGGGGGTGGGGAGAGGATGCGATGACACCCTTTTAGGGGGATCATGACAATGCGTTATACGTAGGGCTGCCTCTGGAGACGGTTTGGAAACTTCATGTTATGTACTGAAGTTCTCACCCTGGGCCAGCAGGGGGATACTGTAGATGGTTTTCACTCAGGTCCGCATATGCATATAAGGAATTGAAAGTGACGTTCAGTGATTGGATAGTTACAGAAAGTTGTTACTGTTGCTTTGTAGTGGAGCTCTATATAAGCAGGTTGGCTGAACCCTTCAGTTCAGTTCTGTTCTGGCCTGTGAATAAACAAGAGCTGTTGGAAGAATTGCTTTGTCGTCTGATATGTACATCCACAACTTAACACTTAACAGCCAGTGCAGATTTCAGCAGCCAAGTTGCTCACTGGAGCAAGACGGTCTAAGCATATTACACCGACCCTGGTTCAACTGCACTGGTTACCAATTAGTTTCCGGGCCCAATCCAAAGTGCTGGTTTTGACCTATAAAACCTTCAGTGGCTCAGGACCGCAATACCTCAAGGACCACCTCTTTCCATCTGAACCTACCTGGAACCTGAGATCATCTTCTGAGGCCCTCCTTTGTGTGCCTCCTCCTCGAGAGGTCCAGAGGGTGGCAACACGAGAACAGGGCCTTCTCTGTGGTGGCTCCCTGTCTGTGGAATGCTCTCCCCAGGGAAGTTCACCTGGCACCTTCATTATACACCTTAAAAACATTCCTTTTTAACCAGGCCTTTGGTGGACCTGACTGACATCCTATACCCTTTTAAAATGTGGCTCTTTTCTTGGGGGAGGGTTATTGGGTTGTTGTTTTTATTCTGATTATATATATTGTGATCTTTTCTGTGAACTGCCCTGAGACCTCCGGGTATAGGGCGGTATATAAACTCAATAAATTAATAATAAAAATAATGACAGAGTACTGTGGTACCTTGGTTCTCAAACTTAATCTGTTCCGGAAATCTGTTCTAAAACCAAAGTGTTCCAAAACCAAGGCACACTTTCCCATAGAAAGTAATGCAGAATGGATTAATCCATTCCAGACTTTTAAAAACAACCCCTAAAACAGCAATTTAACATGGATTTTACTATCTAAAGAAGCAATTGATCCATAAAATGAAAGCAATATTCAATGTACTGTACTATAAAATAAATAAGATAGTATTGTAGATAATATATATATATATTCCCTTACATGCACTGATGATAGTCATTGTTTGGATGGGGGGCTTTTATCCATTTCTGCAGTCACACAATCAATCAATCAATCAATCAATCAATCAGTAGCTGAAATGGGTTCCACACAGTCACAAAAACAAGTCACAGAAACGAAGTCACAAGCCACAGTCACAAGTCAGTCCCATAAAATGAAGAACAAGTCACAGTCAAAAAACAGAAAAAGCCACACACAAAAAACCTTGTACTTGTCCGATACATTTCTGCTGACAACAAATTTATTTATACCCTTCCCCTCTGAATTGGTTGCCTCCTTGAGAGTTGTGTGTTTGGGGGGTCCTCCACCTGCCTAAAAGAGGCAATGATATCTACACAACAACAGCTGCCAGGATGCTCATAAAAACTGGAAAGGGAGAAAAATTCTATCAATTAAAATTTGTGAATATATACATCTGGCAAGACTCACAGTATTCATAAATGGGACAATCGAACCCAAAATTATTAAAAGAATGGGGATGTGCTAAAGAGTATATGAAAAACATTGTTCTGGAGTAAGTATATCAGTATGTAACGAATGAAGCCTTGCAGGATTAAAGAAAGAGAAAAATGGTGCAAAAAGTATAAAGACAGAAGTAATCTACATTGTGGACTAGGGTGGCGCTGTGGGTTAAACTACAAAGCCTAGGACTTGCCGATCAGAAGGTCGGCAGTTCGAATCCCCGCGACAGGGTGAGCTCCCGTTGCTCGGTCCCAGCTCCTGCCAACCTAGCAGTTCGAAAGCATGTCAAAGTGCAAGTAGATCAATAGGTACCACTCAGGCGGGAAGGTAAACAGCGTTTCCGTGCGCTGCTCTGGTTCGCCAGAAGCGGCTTAGTCATGCTGACCACATGACGCTGGCTCCCTCGGCCAATAAAGTGAGATGAGCGCCGCAACCCCAGAGTCGGCCACGACTGGACCTAATGGTCAGGGGTCCCTTTACCTTTAATCTACATTAGACACAACAATTTAGAAAGAGTTAAAATTTCGAGGTCTTAGAACAAAGGAAGGAAATCAATATGTGTATACGTACGCAACGATCAGAATGATGATATGGATTTATTTGTAGAGGGTTTTTTTGTTGTTGTTTTTGTCTGTATGTTTCTTTCTAGTGTTTTGTTTTGTTTTGTTTGTTTGTATTGCTTTATTTTTGATTCAATGTTTGTAATTTCTGTTGTAATTTTGCATTGGGGAAAAAAATTAAAAAGGGATGGGGGAGAGGCAATGATAAAAGCATTCCTTAAAAAATGCTCGCTGGATTCAGAAAATACAATTAATTACCGGCCAGTTGCTCACGTTCCCTTCTTGGGCATGGACCCTGAGTGTGGGGTTGTGGGTCAGATCCAGGCTCTCTTGGAGGAAACCACTCTTCCAGACCCATTTCAACTGGGGTTTGGGCTTTGACATGGAAATGCCTTTGGTCACCCTGTGTGATGACCTTTGCAGGGAGAAATATGCTGGAGGAGACTCTTGAGAGTCCCATGGACTGCAAGAAGATCAAACCGATCCATTCTTAAGGAAATCAGCCCTGAGTGCTCACTGGAAGGACAGATCCAGAAGCTGAGGCTCCAATCCTTTGGCCATCTCATGAGAAGAGAAGACTCCCTGGAAAAGACCCTGATGTTGGGAAAGGCGGAGGGCACAAGGAGAAGGGGACGACAGAGGACGGGATGGTGGGACAGTGTTCTCGAAGCTACCAGCATGAGTTTGACCAAACTGCAGGAGGCAGTGGAAGACAGGAGTGCCTGGTGTGCTCTGGCCACGAAGAGTCGGACACGACTAAACAACTAAACAACAACAAGTGTCCCTTGAAATCCTGCTCAGTCACCCAGCGGCTGTCAAT